TTTCACAAAAGTGCAAAAATAATTCTTGTTCTTGGTAACAAAAGTAAAGTAGTACATTTGAACAGATTTGTTGTCTAGGTAACCGTTACTTAGGAACAGAGAACAATATTCCCTGTGTCGCTGCCTATCAATAACAGTCGGTTGAGTGGTAGATAACCAAGACACGTGATACTCCCGCGGAATACATCACTGCTGAACTTGTAGCTGAAGTAAGGGAGCTGTACGAAAAAAAGGACAACAATAAAAAACAGGTATGGAGGGATTCATGCCAAGCCTTCACCGTGTGCGCTATTGATAAGCATAAAACAGCACAGGCTTCGATGTATCAATAACGATACGAAATGACCTACGCTAAACTGTGACCCTTTTGGGGTAAATTCCGACAAAAAACATGGCGTTAAAAACAGCGAGAGAGACGAAATGGTGACAAAAGACAGCGAGGGGGATTGAAGATGAAACGGCGAAAAAGACAAGCGCAAACACAACAATAAAATACTGACAGAAAGACAACTTCCTTAATACGCGAAATGAATATATAGGAATAACAATGATGGGAATTCTAATTTTTGTTCTATCCTTGAGTTCTCAAAAAATATACTTGCTTTTTTTCAATTTGCTGCATTGGATAGTACTTTCAAATCCTCACTGTTTTGAACGATTTTTGGCGCTGATACTCAACGACGCGAAATGGTAGAAATGTGCACTGAAGTAACAAAATATCGCCCGAGCATCCAGATAGCAAACATAGCACCATCCTGTGCGGGTGCCCCCAAAACAAAGTGCTCGGGCACAAAGTGTGAACGCAACCTTTATCTCACCTCTGACGTGTCTTCCTGTAAGTTGTAAACACCTATTCTTCCGTTCATGTTGGCTGAAATCACTTGGTCTCGCCATACCAGTATGGAGGGAAGAGGATCGCTGGGGCCTGAAAAATAGAAATCAAGGTAACCGTTTGAAAGAACAGGGTTGTGTAGGAGCCTGTAGTCCTGTAACTTACTTTAGATCGGTTTAAGAAACAAAGAGTCGTGGCATACGTACACCATGATCTAAATAAAATGCCAAGCCACCTTTAGCAGCGGAAAAACTTCGTCCGCAGTATACCATGCACGGTTATCTGGTGTCCATTCTTTCGTACCCTAGGCTGTCAAGTGACCGTACGGCCTACCATGTAAACCAGTGTGAAATGTCACACTCACCCAGACATACCAGGCGGCCATAACGAAATAAAATGCATTGCTATCCTTGCTTTGCAATGATAAACGCCACCCATATCAAAGACGATTAACTGCTGTCAAAAATTGGCATCCCCTGACCAGTATCATGACTGTATCGTGGGCTCGGATGCACCTCATGTCTACACACTACGTTACTCTTCAAGTCTTGTTACCTTTTAGAGTCTTGAGCCGCAATCCGTCGTCTTTCCACAGTGACAAACCAGAATCTACGGATGACGTGACAAACGAAGAGTTTGAGAAAGCTTTGACCTGAAAGATAGTAGAAGCTAAATGAGCAGTGACGTGGAAACATGAAAATGTCAGGAAGATACTGTTTATCATGGTTAATGTGTATAAAGGGTTTCGTTCATCGTTTGTTTCACGATTGTAAAAGAGACATTCAGCGCGACGTGTCGATTTACTGAGTAAGATTATTTGTAAAACCGTGGTTGCCAACAATGCTTTAGATGGAAACCCACCAACAAAGCGAGGATCGTAATTTACCAATCACTAACGATCCCCGTTATATAAACATAAAATTATAACATTTCATGGGGTGTGAGAACGATCCGCAACAAAGAGTATCCAAATTAGCTGAAAAAAGTAGAAAAATTGTTTCGCCTAAAACCAAAGCCCGCGTTTTCTGACTTTTCCTCTACAAAATGGCGCGAAACGTTTGACTTTCCAACCGGATTTTCCGGTTTTTCCACGAAAGTAGTAAGTACCCCTAGTTTCCAGCGCTTATAAATAACATCTACTTTTCAGTGCACGTCTACTTTAGCGAGTATCCAAATTAGCTGAAAGGAGTAGAAAAATTGTTTCGCCTAAAACCAAAGCCCGCGCTTTCTGACTTTTCCCCTACAAAATGGCGCGAAACATTTGACTTTCCAACCGGAATTTCCGGTTTTTCCTCGTAAGAAGTAAGTACTCCTAGTTTCCAGTGCTTATAAATAACGTCTACTTTTCAGTGCACGTCTACTTCAGCTATACCTGATATATTTCTGACGTGTGCGCCCGCCGGTGGCTGCGGAGAAGTCCCCCTCTTGTATCCAACACAGACGTGAGACCGGACGAGAAACCAAGGGCGATCCACCGTCCGTCAGGGCTGCAGCATATATCACGGACAGTACCTGAGAGGCCCAAAGGGAACAAATCTTTTACTGGGCCAAAGTCCACTGCTGTAGGTAGAACAGTGAAGGCCAGTTGTTCAGACCTAGCGTGCGTAGCAAGNGGTTTTTCCTCGTAAGAAGTAAGTACTCCTAGTTTCCAGTGCTTATAAATAACGTCTACTTTTCAGTGCACGTCTACTTCAGCTATACCTGATATATTTCTGACGTGTGCGCCCGCCGGTGGCTGCGGAGAAGTCCCCCTCTTGTATCCAACACAGACGTGAGACCGGACGAGAAACCAAGGGCGATCCACCGTCCGTCAGGGCTGCAGCATATATCACGGACAGTACCTGAGAGGCCCAAAGGGAACAAATCTTTTACTGGGCCAAAGTCCACTGCTGTAGGTAGAACAGTGAAGGCCAGTTGTTCAGACCTAGCGTGCGTAGCAAGCGTTTCCGATCGAGTTATTGCGCGAAAACTTGGAACGAGAGCAAAAAAAAGGGAGGTAAGGGAAGGGGGAGGGGAGAAGAAGGAAACGATTGCCTGCAAACCACACAATTCCTCCTCCCCTACCCCTTTCCATTCTTTTATTTTTTTGACCTTTAGATCCTACGACGAGTACGATAAAGAGTACGAGATTTCTCAATACTAAGTAGTATTCGCGCGTGAACCAGTGTCATTTTGGCGGGAAAACGTGATAGCTGTAGTCATTTTACTAGAAGTATGAGCGAAAATTAATTAATAAATGTCGTAGCGGCGGAAACAAGTTATCAAATGTTAGAAGTTTTATCATTTTGCGATCGGGAGACGGCTTAACCTCCTCCAGTAAAGAAAAAAAAAGTACAATGAGGCATTCCGGGGTGTCTACGCGAGAAAAACTAAAATCAAATCTCGTACTCGTAGTTGTTCTCGTCCTCCAATCTAAAAATCTATTAACTGGAGCGGAAACGCTTGCTACGTAGGCTAGTTCAGAGCCAGCTTTAATTGTCCAATATTTGAGGTGGCTCTGAAAGCGTTCTCCTGTTGTCAAAAATAAACGCACCGCGTCATGCGAAACAAAATTTGGTAATTAAAAATGGGCGTCAACAGGTTCGCGCACAGTTTTTAAAGGCGACTTGAACAACGGCAGCACCGCAAATTCGCCATTTCAGGAACAAGGAACCTGAGCCGAATTAGCTTTCGCAAAGACTTCTGGGACGGACCCTGAAGATTGGGAAAAATTGGCCAATAGCTGACCGGCGCATCCCTCGCATTCAATTCGCCAAATGTTGGCAGTTTCGTCTGGAGTTGAATTCTAAAGACTGTGTCGAAGTACAGGAAAAGAAAAAGAAAGTCGTCATGTGTTCACGTCCTCCACAAAACGTGAAAATAGGCATTTTCATGTCGTAGTCGTGCAGTGACGGTAAAGAAATGTACAAAAAGCATGATGTACGTGCAAAGTTGTCGTCGCCGTCGTCGTTGCTTAAGCTCCCATTTATCTATTGTTTTGACTCTTCCGACTACTCATCCGGCCAACGGAAGACACTTATGGGTCAATTTGCTAGACAACTGTGCAATACTTGCAAGATAAAATGCCTCACCTGCGATACTACTTGTGGTAACTTTCCACTCTGTGACAAAACTTTGCTGTCGAACATCAAGAAACCTACAGAAAAAAATACGATGCGAGAAGTGATTTGCTGCTTGAAAAATATTAAGAATAATAATAATAATTATTATTATTATTTAAATTAACATTTGCACTGCTCATTTTAGCAAATGCACATCAATAACTAAAATCTAGTATTAATAGTCACAACACACGTCAGAGGGTCCCCAGCAACCAAAAAGTACTGAATATAAAACGTAAAAATACATAGCTAAAGTTAAACCTACAATAAATAGTAACTATGAAAATTGTAACAAACTACTTAATTTCATTATTTGGAGGTTTTGGTAAAGAACAAGGTCTTGAGTGTTTTGGCAATAAAAGTTTGAGAGTGCTAGAGTGGCAGATATGAATGCTCGATCGTTCATGGGGACAAGGTAAAAAATGGCCAATAGCTGACTGGCGTGTCCCCAGTAACGATCCCTGCAACCATTGAGGCACGCATTTCGGCTCCAGTCCCCTTGTCGTTCGTAAAGTGGAGAATGGTGAGCCATCGTAGATTATGACTTGCTAACGGTAACACACTAGTCCCCTACGCAGCTGTCATTTGTGCCGTTACGCAACACTCCCCGAGGGTTGTGTGATTACACAAAAAGCAGTTGTGTAGGAGACTTGATAGACACGACTCAACAGTAAAGCGATTGTGAAAATACGAAATACATATAGCTGTTCTGCACTCCATTTCGAGTTTTCACCTGGCGGTTCCTTCTGCCATGGCAGCCACCACGCATTGGCTGGGTGCTGGAAGTGCCGTCATGGCAACGATCGGATTGTTCCGCGGCTGGTCAAAGGTTCCCAGAGAGCGCGTGGAGACTGGGTCCCACAACTGGAAAAAGGAAAAGAACCAATATCACTTGTCAACAAATGTTGTGAAGATACTGTGAAGTGCTTTCAATACAACCAAAAATAGAGACCTTTAGATTCAAGGACGACTACGAGTACGAGATTTGACTTTAAAGTTGATGTTAGCGAATTTCAGGTTGAAAATTAGACCATTTTGAGACTCCGACCTCGAAAACCGATATTCTAATTTTTCTGGCAAACAGAGGCTCCCTGGAAAAGCTTCATTTTACCATTTTTCACCAGAAAAGTTAGCACTGTTACCTTTAGTGAAGGAAGTTACACCCTCTCCCGATCGCAAAATGATAAAACTTCTACCATTTAATAACTTTTTTCCGCCACTTAGACATTCTCGCTAAAACTCCACAGAGTGACGACGGCTACCACGTTTTCCCGCCAAAATGACGCTGGCTCACGCGCGTACACTACTTAGTATTGAGGAAATATCGTACTCGTTGTCGTACTCGCCTTAGAATCTAAAGCTCTCTAACAGCTTACATGAAGACTCCCATCACATGACACAGCCTGCCGCACAGACTCCACCATTCCCACGTGAAAGACCGGCCGCGTGTGTCGGTAATATGNTTTACCATTTTTCACCAGAAAAGTTAGCACTGTTACCTTTAGTGAAGGAAGTTACACCCTCTCCCGATCGCAAAATGATAAAACTTCTACCATTTAATAACTTTTTTCCGCCACTTAGACATTCTCGCTAAAACTCCACAGAGTGACGACGGCTACCACGTTTTCCCGCCAAAATGACGCTGGCTCACGCGCGTACACTACTTAGTATTGAGGAAATATCGTACTCGTTGTCGTACTCGCCTTAGAATCTAAAGCTCTCTAACAGCTTACATGAAGACTCCCATCACATGACACAGCCTGCCGCACAGACTCCACCATTCCCACGTGAAAGACCGGCCGCGTGTGTCGGTAATATGTCCACGAGCTAGCTGACTGAGCCGTGCCATCACCATGGTTGCTAAGCGACCACAGCTTGACAGTTTTGTCTTTACTCGCCGAGAGGAAGCAGTGCTCACTATCTTGTACATACACAGAACGGACCGGTCCACTGTGGCCTAACAAAAAACGAATTTTCATCAGTAGGGAAGAAGCCGCCGTCAGATTAGTTAGGCTCCATATGTTAAATGTTAAGCACGCTATCTACTTTTGCACGTGCTATTCTTCATTTAACGTGCTATTCCTTATTTCGCGCGTGCTACTTCTTATTTCGCACGTGCTACTCCGTATTTTACACGTGCTATTCCATATTTTGCACGTGCTATTCCTCATTTCGCACGTGCTATTCCTTATTTTGCACGTGCTACTCCTTATTTCACATGTGCTATTCCCTGTTAGTGTCTTACCTGTAAAGGTCTGGAGTTTGACTTGTTGCAGATTAAACTTATGTCCAATTTTGCCCTTTACATCTGAAAGAAATAAGTCACCTAACAGATTAACATCGAGCACGAGTTAATACATACATTACAAAGAATAGTTTGCATGTTTCTTTCCTCGATAACCGCACTGTGCGACACGTGGCGCGACAAAGACTGATGATGCTAATGATGATGATGATTGTGACGATAATGTCGTGAACATGACGGTGATGATGATGCCCTTATGCGACCTTTTCCTCGCAAGTCAACGCGAAAACAGAGTGGTCACTTCAAAGTTTACTGCGCGCTTCAGGAAAAAAAGAGAAAATTATTATGAACGAAATTAATCTCTTGACTGTATGGTTGAGGCATCTTTATTCAGATTATTCGTAATATCTCAGATCACATTTCGGCACTGCTACCCAGCCTGGTTTCGTCCCCATGAATATCTATCTCGAAACAGCTATATACAAAGTTACATACTGAGTTGATTTTCCCAGTGAGTCAGCCAACTACCACGAAGATACTGATCGGAAGACGAAGGTGATCTGTCAAATGATACAAAACAAGAAAAAAGTACCCACTGATGATGAATGCTTTAATGGATTAGGGAAAGGCAATGCTACAATTAGTAAAGAGCATATCTATCAGCGATTTCGTGAAATTACAAGACAAGAACACCGAGTATAATAGGTGAAAGGTTTTGTTAAGGTGGAAAGTGCGCTTAGCTTATCCAGCTAGTTTACCGGCACTCCACTTAAATATTTGAAACAAATAATTCAAATATAACATAACAGGCCGATTTAAAACCCTATCTGGTCAAGGAGGGAACCAGTTGGCTACTTAAAAGAGAGGCCGATGATTTGACCTTGGGACAACCGAGACTCGAACCCGGAACCGCCGGATTGTGAGTCCACCGAGGACACAATCTAGCCAATGACAGGGCAAGGCCGTTGCTTGAACCCTTCCCAAATTTCACTCTGACGGGTGCTTCTTTGTTTTTCTGGTTCGAGCCACGTTTCTTTGACAATTCTCTAATTTACTAAAATTATTTATTAGCCCCAAGCCTCTGTTTCAAAGCGAGGCTAAGTTCGAAGTTATTGACATGAAAATGACGTTATTGTTCTCATGGAAATAAAAGTCATTTTCACAAGAAGAGTTTTGCTCTCAGCGTCGTTTTGAAACTGAGAGTTTTTGGAACTCGGAAATGGTCTATTTAAAAGCTTACTAAAACAGTTGTAAGCGTTTCAGTAAATCTGAAATGCGAAATTTACGGTGCCATTTTCTAGACATAATATTAATCGGGCACGAGAAGTTTTCCACGAAAAAAACTCATCTTTATATAGTGGACAATAGAAAAAAAAACGCTTATTAATAGTATCTAAATTTTTGGCATCCTTGCTGATATTTCCACTTCATGAAAACCCTCTTGGTTTGGACCATGGGTACAAGATTGATAAGTTTTCAAACCAGACACGTGCGCCTCAAATAAAAAATGTTAACCCCTTGCTCAATTCTGTCTTTCTGTTTTCGACGGTAAGAAAGAGTGAGAGGTCAAGGAACCTTACTGGATTGAAAATTTTAAAAATCTTTAGGCGGGTATTACTAACGAAAATTCGGTGTTGTAATTTTACTTTCCACTCACATATTTGCTGCGGGTACATCTTTCGTTTTCGCCGACAATTTCCTTCCGATGCGCCACATAGGAGGCTTGGACCTTTTCCCGAATTTCTTCTTTCCACGAACTCGTTCATCAGCTTCGCCATCCACGTCACGATTGCCACTAATCCCAGAATCAACTTCCAACGTTCCATCTCCACCCATGTTGTCAACAGTCTCCTCGCCATTTTCCTCCTCCTCGGACGCCCTCACATCTTGGCAAGTGGGGTGAGACAGCTGTATATCATGACTGCAGCACAGATTCCAAATGAGGTCGTGATTATGAAGCGTCGTTTCCATATACTTGCTTCCCATNAACTCGGAAATGGTCTATTTAAAAGCTTACTAAAACAGTTGTAAGCGTTTCAGTAAATCTGAAATGCGAAATTTACGGTGCCATTTTCTAGACATAATATTAATCGGGCACGAGAAGTTTTCCACGAAAAAAACTCATCTTTATATAGTGGACAATAGAAAAAAAAACGCTTATTAATAGTATCTAAATTTTTGGCATCCTTGCTGATATTTCCACTTCATGAAAACCCTCTTGGTTTGGACCATGGGTACAAGATTGATAAGTTTTCAAACCAGACACGTGCGCCTCAAATAAAAAATGTTAACCCCTTGCTCAATTCTGTCTTTCTGTTTTCGACGGTAAGAAAGAGTGAGAGGTCAAGGAACCTTACTGGATTGAAAATTTTAAAAATCTTTAGGCGGGTATTACTAACGAAAATTCGGTGTTGTAATTTTACTTTCCACTCACATATTTGCTGCGGGTACATCTTTCGTTTTCGCCGACAATTTCCTTCCGATGCGCCACATAGGAGGCTTGGACCTTTTCCCGAATTTCTTCTTTCCACGAACTCGTTCATCAGCTTCGCCATCCACGTCACGATTGCCACTAATCCCAGAATCAACTTCCAACGTTCCATCTCCACCCATGTTGTCAACAGTCTCCTCGCCATTTTCCTCCTCCTCGGACGCCCTCACATCTTGGCAAGTGGGGTGAGACAGCTGTATATCATGACTGCAGCACAGATTCCAAATGAGGTCGTGATTATGAAGCGTCGTTTCCATATACTTGCTTCCCATGATGCCACACAAGGGCACAAACGCGTGGTGGGCTATTGCCGCGTTGAAGGTCTCATACAACTCGTTATAAGCTGGAGTGTTATACAGGTCTTCAGCTTTCTCTGGGAAATTGTCTTTCTCGTCGATCCCTGAAATACAAAAGAGTAGGAATATCTCAGAAGGGAAAGGGTGTGTCTAGAGAGCGCGATGTCGCAGGTTCAGTCGGCAAATCTTTGCTGACGTCGATTGAGAGATTAAGAATCAGTTTTACGGTAAACGTCAATTAGTACGACGTGACCAAGTTTTCCCTTTACCTGCCTTTAAGTGTCAATTGTATCTACACAAACATAAGTAGTTTCATGCCAAGTTCATCAGTTTTGAACTGTTTTTACCTTCTCGTTTCCAAATTCTAGAAACTGACAACTTGAACCTGACGTTTGCCGTTTGCCGTAAACCTGATTCTAAGTGACAGAAATGTGATGCTGAATTTTAGCGGAGTTTTTGCGCGCGTGCAGCGGAGTACCGTGTGTAAAAAAAATTGGTTATCTATGCATCCAGGAAATTTTGGTTCCTACAAAATCGTCCGTTCCACCCATTCATGTTTGCGGATGTCAAATGGCAAACTAGCCAGGAGTCCAAGGCATATCCTATTTGTGTTTAACCAGGCTCCCTGGTTTAAACTTGGTATTGGATATCCATGTTATGGTCAATTGACAGCTGTCAAAAAAGGTATCTGCTGACTAATATCACATGACTGTATCGCGGGCTCAGGTATACAACTCACTGAGGTAACGTATGTTTTAAAAGTTATTGGCTGACCAGTTTACGGTTTTCAATTGATCGCAAGCCCAAGTCTGTTTTTTAAAGGTGAAATTCAGTTTGCTTTCAGCTCACGGTAAAAGTTGAAGTACTTGAGAAAGTCATTTCTTACAAGATCCCTCAAGAGCTTCCCTTTTGGCCTTGGTTGAACAGTTAATAAGAACGTTTTCCCTTCAGTCAGTGACACAGGCGGCACGGAAGAACTCTATACACCTTACTCCAAAATGGCGACAATCTTATTATTCTTTTATTTATAGTTATGTTAGTTGGCCCTCGATGCCTCGATCGCATCTTCAGAATTCAAAAGAATTTCTAGCTGGAATCGACGCATCAAGGGCTGGTTAACATTAATATAAAAGAATAATAAACTCGTTGCCATTCCAGAATCCAGATGCCTTACCACTGAGCTATAAGAAACTCGTGGGAGCAAAGGCCAAGAAGCTACAATCGGCGACAAAATGAGTTGAGATACTTCGCCCTGAACTGGGCTTTTTACGTTTTACTAACTGCAAAATTGGGGAATATAGCTTTTCCTCCCCCATCCCCTCCATGCAATGTTGTGCCACCGTTCGAGCTACCTATAGAAAACAACAAACACCCCAACTTTAAATGGAGGGGACAGGGAGGGGTGTGGATTCTTTTGTTCTCTGAAGTTACCCTATTTAATTTCAGTAAAATGTCTCAACATTTTTTTTCGCCCATTGTAGGTTTATGAGCAATTAACCTCTTGCATACTGACAGGATTGGAATGTTGGCGATTGGAGGAATATATGACTTAAACCACTATAAATACACAAACCTGATTTGTCTTCGTCCCTCCTCTCCAGAGCATCTTCAATGTCCACTTCAACATACTCATTGGGCGACGTGTTTTCTTCTTTTTCATTCTCCTTGAGCTGTCTCATGCGTTCCAGCTCGAAACACGAGAAAAATTGTTGCAACGGAGCCGTCATATTCTCCCGGGCAAGTTCTCTTTCCAGTTTTAAACACACTACCGTAAGAACGTCAATATAACTACGACAAATGGCTTGGCGCGCCGCAACTCCACCTGGAAAGGTTAGGTTGTATGAAGACAAGATGCGTATGACAGGTTGAAACACTCCCGTCATGAGGTCAGGTTCAGAGTATCTACTTAGCGTATCACGAGATAGGTAGGGAATGCAGTACTTTAGAAGTGACAGGACACCAGCCAAAGCGGCTTCACCTCTTTGCGTTACTTTGCTTTGTACGCCCCGGATCTATTGGAAAGACAAGCATTCAATAACTGTTTAACGATGGTAATATAAGCACCGCAATCTGATGAAACTATTACGCTCCAACTTCTTCGAACCAATACTTTCCTGTGCGAGGACTTTCCTTCCTTCCCCCTACCCCCGCCTCCTTTTTTGGCGGAAGAAACTCCGTTATACGTTTTGATGTCTCTTTTAAAGCGATTACTTTACTAGACGTCCCATATTCTCTTCGGTCGCTAGCTTGGTCACAACAGCAACATAAAAAAAGCATAGTCCTATTTTGGCGCATCAAATCTCAAGCACTCTTACTTTTCATCTTGCTGTTTAGTAATTTATCTTAACCTGCACTTTTCCAATTGCACTCCAACTTATTCTCACTCGCCACTGGGATTTAAAAAAAAAAAAACAGTAATAAACACTTAATGACAGGTCCCGGGGAAAACAAAATTAACTGTTTCCCGAGAGACCGGTCTTTAAGTGTTTTGTTATATAGCCGGAAATTCATTAAACCTTCTGTAACGGCGGTCGTCGGTCAATGTTCGCGGGTAACAGTGCACTGTTGCCCCCTGACGTCATAGATTTTTTATAATGTTGCCTGCTCAGATATTTTGGCGGGAAACAGTTCCACTGTTAGACGTCATGTGACCTCAAAGTAACCAATGACAGCGCACTCGGTTGGGAAAAAATTCAAGCTACATAACAATAATTATTATTGTGACAAAAAAACTAAAAAGAACCCTAGTGGCGAACGTTCGGACGACTGGAAGCCATGCGCCACACAACCTGATTTGTGCGCAAACTCACCGTCTTTTTTATGTAAGGCAGGTATTGATTCAGCATAAATGCCTCGCCGTACAATGTGCAGAAGTTTGCCAGACAAAACAGCAGCCACTTAGCATCCCTGTCATTCACCATTTTCTCTTCGTCATCATCATCCTCCAAAACGACCTTTCCCAAGTAGCAATGCGGTAACATGGTGAGTAGTTGACTTGCGATGTACTTAGAGGTGAGAACGGGTCCCAGGCGAGGGGCCACCCAGACAATGCTCTCTGCCGCTATACCAGATATTGTACCTGGTGTTAGCTCATCCTGCTGCTTTAGGGTTTTCTTTTCCCGCACCATAGATTTTGACTTGGTACCGTTGTAGAATGGTACCACCGGTTTGCCATTGTCTTTGCCTAATTGCTCATCTTTAGTAGCTTCGTCATCGACTGCCTCCAATAATCCATTCTCTGGTGCTTCATCTTCGCTAAGCGGCTCCCCTTCTTCCACGTCGTCTTCAGACACACGATTAGCTTCTTCCAGGCTATCATCAATTTCTTCTTGCTCTCCAAGCTCTCCATTTTCCTCTTCAGTATCCTCCAATGGATTATTGTCATTTTTATCAAAAGTTTTCTTCCAGCTTGATTCTGTTTTTGCAGCCAAGTCTGCGCTTATTGTGAAATTCCCTTCTCTTTCTAAATGGTCGAAACCTTCGGCTTCGGTTGTTACAGGTTCTTCATCAGAGATAAGACCGGTATTTCTGGAAGGTGCGTTGGATTTCTGCACCGCTGCGTTTTTCTGATCGGCCTCATGTCCTTTAATTTCACCTTGACAAGCTTCCAAACCAGTCACACCAACATCTCTTTCTCGGTGTTCAAACACAGTAGCTGCTTCCCCAGTCTCCTGTCTTCTTTCAGAAACAGCTCCTTTTTGAGGCTTAAGAACTATCCCCTCGGCATCATTTCTACCTCTTGCAGAATCCTCAGTTTCAGGAATAACAATAGAAGCTTCACCACCAATTTCGATGCCCTCGTAAATCTTGTGAAAGCTAACCAACTTAGCAGATCGTCCCCCGTCCTCTTCATCTACGACAGGATCATCATCGTCTGAGATATTTCCCTGAAACAATCGTCCATCAACGTCTTCCTCGGAAATCTCCCTTGGCATTAAGGTTACTTGCTCCGAGATCTCGTCATCCTTCAAGCGGTCATTTCTTCCATGATCAGCCACAATTTCAGTTTCAAGTTCTTCGATGCCCATAGAGTAACTTGCAAGTTTGACATCTGAGCCTTCCCGAAGGAAGTTTCCTGGTAGATCCAAATCATCGTCGATATCCAGTGCCACATCTTTGGCTGTGAATTCCAGTTCTGCAGCAGAGATTCCCGGCATGGTACCCTCGGTGCTATGGACAGAAATTCTGTCCCCTTTATCAGTTACCGAGCTCACCTTGGATTTAAAAGCGACTGCATCGACGACAAAACTGATAAAATGCTTCAAAAACCCATCCAGTCCGAAACGCACTATAAGCTGGGAGAGAAAAGTCTGACGTATGATAACTTCGTAATTCTCCAAAGCGTGTGAATCGAACAAATTCACCAGACATTTCAAGAAGGTCTTGAGTGTATGTTTCGGACCCAAAGCCTGTGCCAGCATATCAAATAACTGCGTGCAAGCATGGAGTCGGGTCTCCAAGCACTTAAACAACGGCTCCAAATGATACATCAGTAGTTTGATTCCTTCATCATCCACCTTGGGAAGTAGGTCTGGAAGGAACGCTGCGGCGATGTCTACTTGCTCCACACTGTAGTTCAATTTGTTTCTTAATACCAAGATTTCTGGTGACTGGCTTTTCTGACTGTCTGAGTCTTCCTTTCGCCCTGGGATAAATAAAAAAATGTATAATATAGAATGAAACAAAGTGAAGTATCAAAATAATAAGGTAAACGTTCCAAGTTGTCCATACATTTCATGTAAAAAAAATAAAGAGTACCACATAAAAAATTAACGCGCAGGATGCCGATTAGATTTTTCTTTTCTATTTTGACATAATGCACATGGTTTTAAATCGTCTACGACAAATGGCTTGGCGCGCCGCAACTCCACCTGGAAAGGTTAGGTTGTATGAAGACAAGATGCGTATGACAGGTTGAAACACTCCCGTCATGAGGTCAGGTTCAGAGTATCTACTTAGCGTATCACGAGATAGGTAGGGAATGCAGTACTTTAGAAGTGACAGGACACCAGCCAGAGCGGCTTCACCTCTTTGCGTTACTTTGCTTTGTACGCCCCGGATCTATTGGAAAGACAAGAATTCAATAACTGTTTAACGATGGTAATATAAGCACCGCAATCTGATGAAACTATTACGCTACAACTTCTTCGAACCAATACTTTCCTGTGCGAGGACTTTCCTTCCTCCCCCCCTACCCCCGCCTCCTTTTTTGGCGGGGAGAAACTCCGTTATACGTTTTGATGTCTCTTTTAAAGCGATTACTTTACTAGACGTCCCATATTCTCTTCGGTCGCTAGCTTGGTCACAACACCAACATAAAAAAAGCATAGTCCTATTTTGGCACATCAAATCTTAAGAACTCTTACTTTTCATCTCGCTGTTTAGTAATTTATCTTAACCTGCACCTTTCCAATTGGACTCCAACTTATTCTCACTCGCAACTGGGATTAAAAAAAACCAATAATAAACACTTAATGACTGGTCCCGGGGGAAACAAAATTAACTGTTTCCCGAGAGACCAGTCTTTAAGTGTTTTGCTACATAGCCGGAAATTCATTAAACCTTCTGTAACGGCGGTCGTCGGTCAATGTTTGAGGGTAACAGTGCACTGTTACCCCCTGACGTCATAATGTTGCCTGCTCAGATATTTTGGCGGGAAACAGTTACATTGTTAGACGTCATGTGACCTCAAAGTAACCAATGAGAGCGCGCGCTGTTGGGGAAAAAAATTCCAGCTACATAACAATAATTATTATTGTTACAGAAAACTAAAAAGAACCCTATTGGCGAAAGTTTGGACGGCTGGAAGCCATGCGCCACACAACCTGATTTGTGCGCAAACTCACCGTCTTTTTTATGTAAGGCAGGTATTGATTCAGCATAAATGCCTCGCCGTACAAAGTGCAGAAGTTTGCCAGACAAAACAGCAGCCACTTGGCATCCCTGTCATTCACCATTTTCTCTTCGTCATCATCATCCTCCAAAACGACCTTTCCCAAGTAGCAATGCGGTAACATGGTGAGTAGTTGACTAGCGATGTACTTAGAGGTGAGAACGGGGCCCAGGCGAGGGGCCACCCAGACAATGCTCTCTGCCGCTATACCAGATATTGTACTTGGTGTTAGCTCATCCTGGTGCTTTAGGGTTTTCTTTTCCCGCACCATAGATTTTGACTTGGTACCGTTGTAGAATGGTACCACCGGTTTGCCGTTGTCTTTGCTTAATTGCTCATCTTTAATAGCTTCGTCATCGTCTACCTGCAATAATCCATTCTCTGGTGCTTCATCTTCGCTAAGCGGCTCCCCTTCTTCCACGTCGTCTTCAGACACACGATTAGCTTCTTCCAGGCTATCATCAATTTCTTCTTGCTCTCCAAGCTCTCCATTTTCCTCTTCAGTATCCTCCAATTGATTATTGTCTTTTTTATCAAAAGTTTTCTTCCAGCTTGATTCTGTTTTTGCAGCCAAGTCTGCGCTTATTGTGAAATTCCCTTCTCTTTCTAAATGGTCGAAACCTTCGGCTTCGGTTGTTACAGGTTCTTCATCAGAGATAAGACCAGTATTTCTGGAAGGTGCGTTTGATTCCTGCACCGCTGCGTTTTTCTGATCGGCCTCATGTCCTTTAATCTCGCCTTGACAAGCTTCCACACCAGTCACACCAACATCTCTTTCTCGGTGTTCAAACACAGTAGCTGCTTCCCCAGTCTCCTGTCCTCTTTCAGAGACAGCTCCTTTTTGAGGCTTAAGAACTATCCCCTCGGCATCATTTCCACCTCTTGCAGAATCGTCAGTTTCAAGAATAACAATGGAATCTTCACCACCAATTTCGATTCCTTCGTAAATCTTGTGAAAGCTAACCAACTTAGAAGATCGTCCCCCGTCCTCTTCATCTACGACAGGATCATCATCGTCTGAGATATTTCCCTGAAACAATCGTCCATCAACGTCTTCCTCGGAAATCTCCCTTGGCATTAAGGTTACTTGCTCCGAGATCTCGTCATCCTTCAAGCGGTCATTTCTTCCATGATCAGCCACAATTTCAGTTTCAAGTTCTTCGATGCCCATAGAGTAACTTGCAAGTTTGACATCTGAGCCTTCCCGAAGGAAGTTTCCTGGTAGATCCAAATCATCGTCGATATCCAGTGCCACATCTTTGGCTGTGAATTCCAGTTCTGCAGCAGAGATTCCCGGCATGGTACCCTCGGTGCTATGGACAGAAATTCTGTCCCCTTTATCAGTTACCGAGCTCACCTTGGATTTAAAAGCGACTGCATCGACGACAAAACTGATAAAATGCTTCAAAAACCCATCCAGTCCGAAACGCACTATAAGCTGGGAGAGAAAAGTCTGACGTATGATAACTTCGTAATTCTCCAAAGCGTGTGAATCGAACAAATTCACCAGACATTTCAAGAAGGTCTTGAGTGTATGTTTCGGACCCAAAGCCTGTGCCAGCATATCAAATAACTGCGTGCAAGCATGGAGTCGGGTCTCCAAGCACTTAAACAACGGCTCCAAATGATACATCAGTAGTTTGATTCCTTCATCATCCACCTTGGGAAGTAGGTCTGGAAGGAACGCTGCGGCGATGTCTACTTGCTCCACACTGTAGTTCAATTTGTTTCTTAATACCAAGATTTCTGGTGACTGGCTTTTCTGACTGTCTGAGTCTTCCTTTCGCCCTGGGATAAATAAAAAAATGTATAATATAGAATGAAACAAAGTGAAGTATCAAAATAATAAGGTAAACGTTCCAAGTTGTCCATACATTTCATGTAAAAAAAATAAAGAGTACCACATAAAAAATTAACGCGCAGGATGCCGATTAGATTTTTCTTTTCTATTTTGACATAATGCACATGGTTTTAAATCGACATAATTGAGTTTTGAAGGAAGTCCCCTGATAACTAAAGAACATTGCAAAACGCTGTTTTCAATAGAGACATGTATCTGTATCACGATGTTATTGGTTCACAGGAATGTATACACGTACTTTGCAAAAATTTAGTTTTATCAACTAAGTTGAAGTCAATTCACTCTTTTTCAAGCCCTAGCTCTTAGTCGGAGTGAATCCACACATATTGTAATTGGGTGAAGAATCTATTAACATTTTGGTTAATGTTACAGCGCGCAGACGCAGAGAAAACACAATATTCTTTGGTGGGCAAAGTTGGGCAGGGAATATACCCGCAAGGCTCGGATAAAACCCACCGACCGGATGATGACCGAATGAGGGGCCTCGGTACATGGCGCCATACCGAGGGGGTGCCTCATGCCTGTACTGCAAGGGAGGGCATAGTTCACGCGTGAAAACGCATGGCCGGCATAATGTCCTTGGGCCAAGTTAACCAAGTCCAGCAAATCCTATAGCCCCCCCTCCCTGACGGGGCTTCAGCACAGGGCTGAAGGGGTGCCGCAGGCAGCAATTCCCCGCCC